CCCTTTTTTATTTTTTTTTCTTATTTTTTTCTTTCTTTTTTTTTCCAACTTTTCCTTTTTTTCCTTTTTTTTTTTATAATTAGACTGTACCAAATAGTCTTTAAACATATTACAAAGTTTTTTCTTCAATAACTTCAAGTGAGATCCTTGAACAATACATAAATTAATAGTATATTTATTAAACTCCAACATGATATGATTTTTATACTAGCTAGCTACATGACTGGCGCTTCACTGTAGATCGTGTAAAATTTTTGAACCGCCATTGATATTCAGTTTAAAATGATATATAGCCTTTTAATAATCTTAATATGCAAAGAGTCCATTTCTTGTAAATATGCAAGGCAACTAAATATAGCGCTCCATTGAAAATATTAAAAACAACTGGGAATTGATAGTAACCAAAAGATTGCGTGCACTTCAAATCAACTGTTTATTTAGGACATTAATTAATAAGCAAAGAGTGTGGAGAATTTACTTTTTATCCTAATTATAATAGTAATTCATAGTATATATTTTTTTGTTTTCTTTCACCTTTTTTTTTTTAACTTTCTTTTTCACCTCTCACCTCTCATCTTTTTTCCTTCTTTTTTTTTTTCAAAATTATTTTTTTTCCAACTTTCTCTTTTTTTCTTTTTTTTACGTATATTGTTTTTCAAAATTATTTTTATCAATTTTAATTTTTTAATATTAAGCTAGTTAAAAACAAATATATTTTTTCTTTAAAATATTATGAATTGCAACGATATTTTCTCACATAGTTTTTTTATTTTATTTTTTTAAAATTATATTTATCAATTTTATTAAATAATAAGTTAAAGAATATGGGGAATTCACTATTCATCCACACCCAATACACTCTGGATTACAATTAATCCGTAGTGTATTCTTTTTTATTTCTTTTTTTTGCACTTTTCTCTTTTTTTCCCCACTTTTCCCTTTTTTCTTTTTTTCATTTATTTTTTTTTCCAAAACTACTTTCCTCTTTTTTTTTCTAACTTTCTCTTTTTTTATATATATTTTTTTTAAATTATTTTTATCAATTTTATTTTTTTAATATTAAGCTAGTTAAACATTTTATTTTATAATTTTATTTTAAATATTGTGACTTGCTACGGTATTTTCCCATAATATTTTTTTATTTTATTTTTTAAAATTATATTTGTTAATTTTATTCATTAATAAGCTAAAGGATATGGGGAATTTAGTATTCATCAAAACTCATTTAACTGTGGATTACAATAGTAATTCATAGTGCATTTTTTTTTGTTTTTTTTCTTTTTTTTCCAACATTCTCTTTTTTATCTTTTTTTTCCAAAATTACTTTTTTTAAAAAAAAACTTTACCTTGTTTCCTTTTTTTATATTTGTTTAAAAAATATTTTTGTCAATTTTATTTTTTAATATTGAGTTAGTTAAAAATTTTGCTTTGTAATTTTTTTCTATTATAGATTATTACAATATTTTTCCATATTGTTTTTCTATTTTATTTTTTAAAATTATATTTATTCATTTTATTACGTAATAAGTTAACAGATGTGAAAAATTCACTATTTACCCATAACCAATGCATTTGGATTACAATAGTATTCCATAGTGCATTCCCCCTTTTTGTCTTTTTTTTTCACCTTTTTATTTTGTATTTTTTCTTTTTTTTCCCAACTTTCCCCTTTTTTCTTTTTTCTTTTGCTTTTTTCTTTTTTTTTCCAAAATTACTTTCCTTTTTTCTCCAACTTTCCCTTTTTTCCTTTTTTCACATTTTTTTTAAACTATCTTTATCGATTTTACTTTTTTAATATTGAGCTAGTTAAAAATTATACTTTATCATTTTTTAAAAAAAAATATGGTCGCTTGCTATGGTATTTTTCCACAAGGTTTTTTCATTTTATTGTTCAAAATTATATTTGTTGATTTTATTAAGTAATAAGCTAAAGGATATGAGAAATTCACTGTTCACCAACCCTCAATACATTGTGAATTACAAAAGTAATTCACAATGCGAGCCTTTTTTTATTTTCATTTTTTTGTTTTTTTACCTTTTTTTGTACTTTATCTTCTTTTTTTCCCAACTTTCCCCCTTTTTTATTTTTTTGATTATTTTTTTCTTTCTTTTTTTTTAAATTACTTTTTTTTCCAACTTTTCCTTTTTTTCCCTTTTTTTCATTTGTTTTTCAAAATTATCCTTATTGATTTTACTTTTTTAATATTGATCAAGTTAAAAACTTTGCTTTGTAATTTTTTTCTATTTTATTTTTTATAATTTTATTTGTAGATTTTATTTTTTTAATATTAAGCTAATTGAGAATTTAGTTTTGTAATTTTTATACTTTAAAACATTGTTGATTGCTACAATGTTTTTTCACATTGTTTTTTTTTTGTTTTTTGATGATTTTCTCCAGAATTGTTTTTTTTTTATTTTATTTTTTTATATTGAGTTAGTTAAAAAATATAGTTATAATATGTGAGCAAAAACCAATGTAACTTTCCTCACAAAATACAGTAAATTGCTATAGTATTTTTTTCCATATAGTTTTTTTCCAGTTTCTTTTGTGTGTTTCTTTTTTTGTAATATTTTTTTTTAAATTACCTTTGTTGATTTTATTTTTTTAATATTCAGATAGTTATAATTTAACTTTGTGATAAAACTTAATCATGCAGGGAAAATTATGTGGCTTTCCTCACAAAACACCGTGGATTATTACAATGTCTCTCAGCAAGTTTTTTTTTTATGATTTTCTCAAAATTATCTTTTTTAATTTTTTTTTAATATTAAGCTGATTGAAAATTACAATTACTAAAGACTAAATCATGTAGGGAAGTATTGTAGCTTTCATCACAAAACATTGTGAATTGCTACAATATTTCCAACATGGTATTTTATGTTTTTTTTCTAAAATTATCTTTGTTGATTTTATTTTTTTAATAGTAAGCTGATAGAATTTTGCTTTGTAATTTTTTTTTAAACATTATGAATTGTTGTAGTGTTTTTTCATATGATTTTTTTTAATTTTTTTTAAAATTATTCTTGTCGATTTTTTTTTAATATTGAATTGGTTAAGAATTATAATTACAATAAAGCTAAATTATATGAAGAAAACGTTGTAACTTTTCTCACAAAACATTATGAATTGCTACAGTATTTCTCTAAATATTTTTTTTATGATTCTTTCTATAATTGTCTTTGTTGATTGTATTAGGAAAAACATTGTAATTTTTCTTTCAAAATATTGTTAATTGCTACAACATTTTTTCTTATGGGTTTTTTCCATTTCAAAATTATAAATAAAGTTAAATGTTTTTTTAATATTAAGTTGGTAGAGAATTTAGTTTTATAATTTTTTTTGTTTTTTATTAACAGAAAAGCTAAATCATGTGATGAAACTACTGTATCTTTCTTCACAAAACACTGTGAATTACTATAAATCATTTTGTTTAGTTTCTAAGTTTTCAATCACCAACACAATTTTTTTCCCGTAATGAAATATTGGCTTCATTATACATTTAGTTTTTATTATTTATTTAGCACTGGTTCACAATTATAACATTATTAAGTATATTTATTTTACAAGCCCACGAACAAGGCACAAGAATGTCGTCTCGTGTATCTTATTTAATATCAAATTTTGTTTTTACCTTATTTATATTATTAATTTATTTAATATCATTATATTTTTTATTTAAATTAATTAAGTTTATTAAACCCTTTTCTTTGTTTAGAAATGTTTGTGTCTCTTTAGCATTATTTTTACGTTTGGAAAAAATTTAGAAAGCAGAAAATGGAGAAGCTAGCATTTTAGCATGCCTTCTTTTCAAGATCTATAGTTTTGTCATTTGAACTTCACTTAATTTCCTCAGTACTGAAGTGATTCATATATTTTGTTAAACGAAGAAAGTCCCTGAAGGTGCAAATTAACCAAACTAATCTTTCTGGAAAAAAAAATTGGACAAGTTGCAAGAGAGAGAGAGAGAGAGAGAGAGCTGGGAGCTGATATGGCAAATTATCTATGGGTTTAATCTAAATAAATAATGAGCTTGAGTTGATAGAGGAACCCATTTTCCTTTTAAGAAACCTAAAAGGGAGGCGAAATGGAAATCAGCCGCGACAAAGGAAAACAGGCAACAGCCGGGGCCAAGAAAAACAATTGATAATAAAGGGTTAAAGAAATGCATCAACCTAGTTGAAGAGTGAGAAAAAAAAAACAGAGATTTGTTTTTTTTTAAGCAAACATGGTACGTAGTAGCCATGTGAATATATAGAAAACTCAACAAGAGCAGAAGCGCGGTCACGTAACTTGCTGCAATTGATATTCAAGAAAAGATGGGGAGGATGGAAAAGATCAAGACACCCAGTTAATGGCCACAGCAAGTTGCAAGAAAAACAAAATGCAGACGGCGATGATATATACATGTTGGGAATTGCAATAAGCTTAATTAAGAGCTAGCGGTTAAAGCAAGCTGAATGCTACCAGAACTAAGGAGATAAAAAGCGGCAGCAGGAAGGATCATTAGAGGAGCCAGGGCATCAATGTGCAGTAGCTAAATCAAAGATCTTGAAGACAATAGTTCTTGAGATTATTCACAATTGTTGAATGGACTGCTTGGCTGGCTGGTGTAATGTGTTTTTTACCGACTCTTTACTGTTTTTTCAATTCCGAAGAAAGCAATCTCCCACGCAGTACATTTTTTTTTAAAAAATTCATCTTTAAATTAATTTTATTTTGATATTTTTATATGATTTTGATGAACATATTAAAAATAATTTTTAAAAAATAAAAAAATATTATATTCATATATTTTTAATAAATATTATTTTAAAAAACAACTATTAAAATACTCACAATCATCCACTAAGTTTTTAATCAAAATTATACATCTTAAAATAATAATAATAATAATAATAATAATAATAATAATATTCTTTAATCAAAAACTGTCTTCACAATATCATAAGCGGTCAACTGGGTGACTTGCTCACTTGTTAAATTGCTATACACTCATCTGTAATTTAATTATCGTTGTTATTATTTCTTTTTTTATTCACAAGAAACACGGGCTCCGAAGTTCCCTCGGGCCAGGACGGCTAATAGCAATAATAGGAAATGGACGGCCGCTCAACGACTTCGACCGCCCCGAGAGTGACCCGAAGACGAGGAAAATGACGAGACAGAAGAAGATGTTGATAATGACAGGCTACTCCCTGAACCTCCAGTCCCGAAAAGCAAATCTGACAAGTAATTCTCCAAATCATCAGGTGCAAATCTGACGATCCCTTCCTTCCTCGGCACCAATTGCCTATACTTGCCATAAAATTCCCGGTATACCGGTACAAGCTTTCTGGCAACCGAAACTTTTATCTGGTCTCTCAGTTTGGAATCGGAGACAACCCATGAAGCTTGGTTGTTATAAGCCTCTTCGAAAGAAGAATTAAATCTCTTAAAACACTCAGTGAATTGAGGGGTTGTCATCTGATTATCGTTAGCATCCGGTAGGGCAGCAAAAACTTTGCTCCATCCCATGCGTTCATAATTGGACGCATATTGCCGTACCTTTTCCTCGTGCTTCTCCACCCATTCATCACCAAGGAGTAACTTTAGGTTGGATTTCTGGACTTTGTTTACCACATATTGAAGATTGTTTGCGAGGAATAGATACGAGAGTGCCGCATCTTTGTATATCTCAGCTTTGCCGTCGAGTTTGCATAGCATAACAAGAATCAGCCATGCTAATCTTATTGATATAGATGAGGTACCCATGCCATCAGCGGACACGGGGCTACCGAAGTATGCTTCTGGTAAAGGAGATGGTACTGTTAGAGGCCCAGCAAGGATGTCGGTAAGTACGCCACTGTAGTCAGTGAGGAAAGTGATGTAGTTCATTACGTAACGTGTTAGAGGATGAATGCCACCACCAGGCACTGCTGCTTTTGAGTTGAATTTTGAGATTGCAGTCTCGAATTCTGTTAAAATTGCGCTGACTGCCTCCCCGAGCTTGTTTAGTGAGTTAATGACCTGTTGTCTGATGGTTGAGGTTGATTCTAAATCGAAAATGGGTTCGATTTCAGTCCAGAGATCGGCGATTGCTTCGTAGAGGTCAAGTGTGCGGAAAATTCTCTCAGGAGCTTTCTTGCACTTGGCTACGTTTTCAGGGAATACAAAGAGAGACAAGGCACCTTCTCTTGTTATATCGGCAAAGCAGGACTCTTTCAACGAAGGAGAAGAAGAAAAAACCTGGTCACAGAGAACTCTTTCACCATAAAATAGAGTTTTAACTGCGACCTTTACTGCATTTAACCAGGCCTTGATTTTAACTTCCAGAACCTCCCAGTCCATCTTTTGAATCTGTGCCGAGCTCAACCTGCTTTCAACGTTCAGATGATACAAGGCCTCATCAACAACTGATTTACGAATGATCTTGAATATCTTGACACATTCTTTTCCATAACCAGCACCAATCATGCATTCAGCAATCGCCTTCAAATCTTTCATGGCATCCATGGAAACGAGCTCTACTTCAGATATGGAATCTTCTCCGACTCTTGAAAATTCGTCTTCCTCAGACTCATCCTCAAATTCAGAAACGCTTGATCTTGACGCTCTGGACACAGATTCAGGATCGAGATGCTGCCTCCTGGACCTCAAAATGATGTAAAACTCCTTCTCGAGTCTCTTCATGGCAATTTGCATGAGATTTTGAGCGAGAACCAGCTTGTCCAAGGTGGGGTCATGGGAGATGTAATATTGCATGGCAGTCTGGAGGTCTTTGATGGAGTTCAGGTACCGTTGGGCTTCGTAGTGATTATCTGATGCGAAGAGATTGGCGACGTCACAGTAGAGGCTGGAGGAACGGGAGGCATCCCACTTAGAAATGAGTTCTCGTGCATTCTCGACATTGTCATCCATTAATGTATCTGAGAATGTTTGGCGATGAGGTGTAGATCGAGTAGGTGACCTAGAACGTGATGGTTTGAACAATATAGTCCTCATACCTTTTCTGGGCATCTAAGATATCAAAATAAATTACACTTTGTCTAAGAAATAAAGAGCAAGAGATGAGAACACTTGATTTCTTGCTGAGTTGAGAGAGAGAGAGAGAGAGAGAGAGAGAGAGAGAGAGAGAGAGAGAGAGAGAGAGAGAGAGTCTAGTTTCGAGAGAAGTTTTGATTTGGTTACAGATACATCAGTGAAGTGATATTTATAGAGGCGAGGCATGTTGGAAGCCACGGAAAGAAATAGGATGGGAGATGGTTTGAAAATGTCTACGAGTCCACGCGTTATAATGATTCTGCCTGTATTTGAATGGCCTTTCGCTGGGAGAGCTTGCCTGGTTTGGAGGCAAATTCTGGATTATATATATATATATATAATAATAATAATACACTAAGTCTGATGAAAGAGACGACTGATTCTGTCGTGGAAAAAGAAAATAAGTGCTAGGAAACTCCAGGCCAAGAGAAATATAAAAAAAACAGAGAGAAACTTAGAATATGACCTGTTACTCCTTCAAACAGCATGCCCGCTGCGTAATTCGAAGTTTTTGACTTATTTGAAACCGTAGAATAGGTCTCCAATTCAGTAACTCTCTGGTATTTTTATAGCCCTTTCAAGAAATGAAGCCGTCTTGGTTTCCATTGTTGAGAAACACCCTGTTGCCAACCTGTGTAGCTCCTTGCGTAATTTATTTTCTAGATAGTAACAACAATTACTTTTCAAAAATGATTTTAAAATTCAAAACCAGATAACATGAACGTACGTAGCTGTCGAGCCAATCATGATATTAAAAGTTTTTGAAAGATCGATGCTTGGCTCCGAGAGATTTGACGCATTAAGTTTTCGAGTGTGATTAGCATTAATTAGCACGGTTTGTTTTTGTATTTTAAAATTATTTTTTAAAAATTTTAATTTTTTAATTTTAAATTAATATTTTTTTATATATTAAGACTATTTTAATATTGATATTAAAAATAATTTTTAAAAATATTAAAAATAATTTTAATATATTTTTAAATAAAAAATTAAAAAATAACTAATCACACACTCTCAAAATGACAATATTGTTGCATTCGTAGCTACGTGCACATAATTTCTTACCACAAATTGTAATTTTGTACATAGATTTATTCTGTACAGAGAAATACAAGGATGAAGAGTTAAGGTCATAGGTATTTATTGGATATTTTTTTTGTTTTCAATGTTGAATCATGGTTAAAGTATTTTTATAGATAGCTTATATTTCTAATATTAAGATAATTTTTTTATAAATATCTCTGAACATCTATAAAAATATTATTTTTAAGGTATTTGAGGACACTCTAATAATAAAGTTAATAATTTAGTAAAAAAAAAGTGATACATTTATGTTTTAGCCCGTAATTTAAAAGGTATTTATAATACTTGGCTAAAAGAACTCAGCATATTTTTTGAATTTAAAATATAGGTTATATTTTAAGAGTAGGACTCAGGTGGTGCACCTGAGCCCACAAAAAAATACTAGGGATGCCGAGTATCCGAGCTCATGCTAGCGCTCGAGCCTTACCTTCTACATGAGCTCGAGTGTTCTTACTTATCCTTTAAAAATAGTTTAGAAATAAGTTAAAAATTATTAGTTTATGATTATTATGGGTATACTGTGGAAAAATGTTAATCTTAATCTGGTAACAGGTATAATTTAACCAAAATAAAAATAAAAAATAGAAAGGAGAGGACAATCTTTTCCCTTTTTCCTTCTATTTCATGATATTTTCTGACTATAGCGTCCACTTTCTCCCCAGATCCTACTCCCAGCTCTTAAATATGCTACCATTTTTGTTCCTTTTTCATTTTCGTTCTTCAAAAATCTACATTTTCTTTTTCCTTTTCGTGAATCAGATGCTTTGGGTTTAGTGACAGAAAACTTGATACGGAGTGAATTTGTTTGTTTTTTATTTTTTAAAAAAATTATTTTTAATATTAGCATCTCAAAATAATTAAAAAATATTAATTTAAAAGGAAATAAAAAATTTTAAAATGAAGAAATAAACATATATGATCAAGATAATGGGTTTGAAGAAGCATAGAAGGCCTGCTCCCTGTGTACGTGGTCAACGGAGAGAGAACAACGAATATTGTGATTAAATTGCTGTTGTTCTTTCATTCTCAAGTGACGGGCTATTCCAAGATGGCAAGTGCCTGGGCAGGTGTATTCGGCAAGTTTGACCAAACCCACAAGATTAATCGCTTAAAACCCTAGGAGAAATATACGCGCAAGTAGTCTGCTTTTCCTCATTTGCTTGAATGGGTCCTCTGTTTCTTTAAGAAAAAATAATAATAACTGGGTGAGGAAAATAAAAAAAAAACGTTTTTGTTGAAATAGAAACCATTTTGACTGTTTGAAAAAGATCGTATAATTTACACTATTTAAAAAACTGATATATAACAATATATATAAAAAAAGGTTATATTTACACTATTAAATTATCAACTTACTCTTCAAAATAACATCTCTATTTGATCCCATTATTGCTTGAAATAACAAAAAGCTATATCCTAGAGCTAGATTATTACTTTTGTTTAAAATATAGTGTTCAATTTCCACAAAAGTGTTTTTAAAAAGAAGAAAAATTCATGACTGATGATGATGATGGATTAGGTCAAATAAATTAATTTTAGTTTAATTATATGATAAGAAAAAGTAATAATAAATTGGGTTAAAAAAAAGATCATGATGAGAAAAAAATTATTTTTTAAAAAAACACAAATAATCATACAAATGATGAAATGAGATAATTTTTTTATAAAAAAACTAGTTTTTATTCACTTAAGTTAATATGATAAATTTATAACTCTATTAATCAGGATTAAGTCAACCTATATTAATAAAATCAAACTTATAATTCAGATCCTGATATTAGAATAATCTGATAAAAAATATATAAAAGAAATCACAGGGTTTTTTTTAAAGAAAAAATATATATTTTAAACCAATTAAATATTAAAAGATAAAATTTTAAAAAAATTAATTATAAAAAAAGATTAAAAAACAAAGAATATAGAAATTAAAACAATGAGAATTAAAATTAATATGTAAAATAATTTTTATATTTGATTGAAAGATGAAATTAAAAAGAAAAAATAATTTAGAAATAGTATCAAAAAAAAATAAAAAATGAGTATCAAAACTAATATAAAAAATAAGAATAAATTAAAAGAATGAAGATAAAATTGATAAAAATAATATATAATAAATTTAGATTGAATGATAAAATTAAAAATAAATTAAATTTTTATAAAATAACAAATAAAAATAAAAATAAAAAAAGATATCAAATTAAAAAAAGAAAAAGAAAAAAGAGAGAAGTAAGGATTGAAGTATGAAACTTTTTAGTGCAACGTTAATGAATCTTCTAATATAATATAAAAAATAAGAATAAATTCTTGATTAAAGAATGAAATTGAAAAAAAAACTCTTATTAAAAAAAAAATTAAAAGAATGAAGTACGAAACTTGTTAGTGCAACGTTAATGAATCTTCTAATACTTTTATTATATTATAAAGAGAGTGCCAATATAAATTGATGGAATGTCCATCGTCATCACACGCGAAACCTGAGTCATCTTTCCACCAGCCGATGAAGGGCAGAATTTCTAGGCTTCCATTTTTCGTTTGACTATCCCTTTTCTTTTCTTTTTTCGCGGGTCAACTTCGCGATGAGACCATTTAGTATTCGCTGTAAAATTAAATGCATTTCTTTTGAGGAGATGTCTTCGAGAAACTGTCTGCAGCACCGGAAAGGAACAAACAGAAGATCCAGTCAGTATGCTGGAATATTGCCTTGGTTTTTCATCACTACTTTAATAGTTTCCTATCATGATAAGTACAGGTGAGACGTCGTTCCAAAAACGACAAAGAAAGAGGATTAAAAAAGCTTCACAAGCGACAGAAATTGCAGTGCAGGATGCTCGTGACGGAGGCCTGCAGGCCATGAGATTCACTTTCTGACTAGTGTAGCTCGTCTTTTATTTATGGACCTTAGAGCACCATCAACCGGGGAGAATTACCATTTTTTTTTCTTTCTTTTGTTAAACATGATTAGTGGTTAGTTGTTGGTGATAGAGAAGGAATGCTAAGGATGTGGTTGGGTGTGGGAGTGTTTCGCCATTCGGATGGGGTATTTATATTAGGAATATTTATAAATATCATTAATAATGGATAAAAAATATTTATTTTTTATTATTAATCTTAATGGAAGGAAATTAGTATTCATCAATCAATTATTCTTCTAAAACTTTTAACATCCCTAATTATTATTAACAATAGACAATCACAATAAACTTAAGATGGAACGTATCGTAGACCTCTCAAAAAATACTTACACACTATTCTATTAGAGCATTAAGAACTCTTTAATTATATCAGATTTCTCATTGAGCAGTAGTATACCAGTTAAGAAAAGTTCTACAGAGCTATAACATCACTCAAATAGGAGGATGGTGTGCATTCTTATGATCCTGTTGATAGTGCCAATGAAATTTCTTTTGTAGGAAAAACAAGTTTAATAATCCAGAATGTTTCAAATTGCTTGAAAATGAATATTGGATGTGCATTGTTTGTAAGAGAATTAAAAGGTCATGCAACATATTCGTTGCTTTAAGTCAAAAAATAATTTCTTATATTTATCCGAAGACTTAGTAAGACAAACAAATCTAAACTACACTTTTTGTCAACTTCATAAATGTCATTAAAATCTCAAAAGCTTGAAAGCTTTCAATAAATACAAATAAAATATTGATTTAAACAATAAAACATGTGAAGTCTTTTTGGTAACTATCAAATAAAAAGTAAGTCAACTACCAAGAAGACATCTATTGGAGAAAATCTACTTTCTCCTCATCTATGAAATTAAGACAATGATCCCAACATAAATTGAATACAAGTCATTGAGCTGACTAGAACTCAAAGGGCAATAAAAATATACTATAGTTAATGACTAAGAATATATTTTTTTTATATATGAATTAATTTATTCAAAGTAATGTTTTGTTTTTCAGGTGATACTTAATGATCTCTTATCAACCTTTCAAAGATGTGATTAACTTAGTTTTTTTAGTGTAATT